GTTGCTCCACTTTCGCTCGCTCAGACGAGCATCAGCTTCATTTCGTCCCACCACTTGCACTCGCACTTGCTCCATTGCCTCGCAGTAAGCGGAGCTTCTCCTCAGCATCGACCCCTCCCTCCCCTTACACCATCGCGCCATACGCATGTTGTTAGCCTAAATGCCGCTGGTCTCCTGACGAATACGAGCGCGACGCCCATCACGACCACATCACGAACACTAGACACTGCATTTCACGACCCCGCAACGAGACCTTTACGAACTGAAAGACACGATAAACATTCACAATAGCGACACCATTACTATCACCGACTCGCCGGGCATCATGACGTCCGCAGCTTCTGCCTTGCAGGCCCTAGATCCAAACGTGCAGATCAGCAAGAACACAGATTCAGACAAATTTGCAGCTGACAATCAAGCCAAGCTCGTCTTCGCTGCATCGCCCAGTGATTCTGACCTTGCTACGAGCCCTAGCGCAGGTGCTCCAACGGCCGCGACCAAAAAGCGTGGTGCCAATCCTTTCCGTGGCCTGGTCATGTGGCGGCGCAAGTCAGAGGCAGCCACAGCCAAAGTGGATGAGCCAGAGAAGACGGAAGAGGCCATGCCGAAGCACGACGCCCAGAATTCCGTGGAGGAGGAGCGCAAGAATGATGGAGATGTACAGGCCATTCCCTTTCCTCCAGCAGCGCCGCGCGCCGTTCGGCGAGTCTCGTTCAGCCCGTCGGTCGAGGAAGCAGCAGCAGATCGAGAGCTTGAGAGCTCTTCGGAAAAAGCCAGAGCTGCTCGAAAGGCTGCAAAGATCGAAAAAGCACAGCGAAAGGTCGCAAAGCGTGCCAAGAGGGAAGAAGCAAAGGCACGAAAGGAGGAGCAGGAGAAGCTGACCAAGGGTGAGGAGAGCCCCCTTGGCATTCCCAAACGTAGCGCAAGCGCCGAGCTGAAGGAAGAGTCGGCGAGCTCCAAGGACTCCAAGCATGCTGTACAAGACAACGAGAGCGCTACGCGTGGCCGAAATATCAAGGGCAGGCAAAGGCGCACATCGTCCTTCAGCATGGACCGTGCCGGCATTCACCTTGCTCCCCAGCCAAACCTGGGTGCAGATGCCCCCAGCAAGGATGCAAAGTCAAAGCCGGCCCGGCCTCGGACGTCCAAACAGGCAGCTTTGTGTGCCAGACACGCTCGAGCGCTCGAGAAGGTCATCATGGCTACAGCTGCGCCCGAAGCGCCGCACAAATCATCGAACAAAGGCACTAGCGCTGTCGACGCCAAACAGATGCGAGCTCTGAAGCGCGCTTTGCTGGATCAGCACCTCGCCAACGGAATCATCGGCGAGCTGCGCGCAATGCATCTGCCAGGTACTGGAGGCGTTGGCCTTCCTTCAGAACGTATCATCACCGGCGATGCAGACCTGTTGGGTGGAGGGGATGCCGGCAAGTCGGGCAGTCCCGCCAAGGAGATGACGGAAGCATTGGCATCTCGATCGCCTGCACTTGCAGCCCTCGAAAGGGTTGCGAGCGCTCACGAAGAAGCTCGAGAGCAGCAAAGTTCGGATGTCCAAGCCGCGCCAAAGGCCTCTCCCACTCCTGCTCCAGGTGCCATCGCGCGTTTTCGTAGACGCCTATCGTCTTCCGGCACGCGACCGGCAACAGCATACAAAGCAGCGCTGCACGCTGTCCAGAAGGATCACGAGCATTTGGCGGTGAAAGAGACTTCCGACAAAACCACAGCAAAGCACCCGGTCAAGGCGGTGTGGCTCGATTGCCCGGAGTGTGAGGCGGCAGAACGTCATGCCACCGCCGTGACATCTCCTCCGGCAGCAGTCGAGTCGCCTGCTGAGCCCCAGATGGACGAAGGAAGCAAGAGCTTGGCTGCGACTGGCCTAGCTATCTGGGGAGCACGGCTTTGGTTTGCTAGTGCTACTCCAAGCGACGAAAAACCAGCAGAAGCTGAGCAGGACGCAAAGACAGCCTCGGCCACTGAAGCGTTGTCGAAGGAGCCAAATGCTGAGACAGCTGCTGAGAACAGGACCGTAGATTCGGATCCTAGGATTTTGCTGTCTGGTGGGCTCTTATCAGGCGTCTCGCCCGTTTCTCTCTTGCTTTCGCCCGGGCCCACGGCTATCAATGCAGCCGGTCGCGCGAGCGGAGCTTTCGATGCGCTGGGTGCAATGACGGCAGCTGCTGTCAGAGCTGACGCGGGCGGGATCGATGCCATGGGACAAGTCCGACCACCATTGGATCGATGCGCCATTTTTGTGCATTGGTGGGGATTCGAGATCACCATGCCTCCACCCACGATGAACTACCTATCTACTGCCCATTCCATCTCTGGAGCCTTCTTGAGCTTCTTGCAGACCATGGTGGTCTCTGGGGGTGTCCCAGAATTGCTGCCCTTTGTCAAATACATTTCCCAATTCGTGGAGATGGAGTTCTCGGCCATCAAGAGTCAGAATCGAGGAGATGGAGTCATCGTCGCTGCTACCTTCCTCATGCCCTTTGCCCTCGTCCCGCGTCCTTGGGACTACTCTACCGAACGTCTACGACTTCCAGTCCCTACACAGCCTGGTGTCACGCCAGTTCCAGCACCTCCTTCGGCACCCAAACGGACCTCATCTGCACCTACCCACCCCCTGCCTCTGTCCGCCTTCCCCGTAGTGTCGTCTCAAGAAGCGGCCTTCGCGGCGCCTCCGGCATTTCCTGGACGTCGAGGCTCCCCTTCACCTACAAAAAGATCGCCTTCACCCTCGAGAAGGTCGGACTCGGCTGTGCTTGCTGCCTCCAAGGAGGGCCTCACCCCACCCGCCACCCCCAGAGCGTCCTTTCAGCTTCCGCCAGGACTCAAGCTAGACGCGCTAGCTGAACTGCCCGAGGGAAGCATTCGGATCCCAGCAAAGGCTTGATTCTGATCCCAGCAGAGGCCGATTTAGCAACTCCTCCCAAATCTCTAGTCCCCATATTTCTTTGCTTTCCTCTGCCACTTCTGTTCCCCCACCGCTTTTGCACATTTCTTTACTTGCACCAATATAATCGTTCGCGCCGAACCAGAATCTTTCGCACTTGCTTTCCAGTCTTGACCACTAGGGGTGAGACCGTTCAACATCCTTGATCACACTCCTTAGTAAGTGACCGTGGCAAATCTTGAGTCTCGCGCAATCGTGTCGTTTCCCCACGCGCCCACCCACGACCCTCGCGCCGTGGTGCTTGCCCGCGCCTCTTCGACGGCTGCATTCCTCTTTCGCTCTCACCATCATCCGCGCCAGTGTGCACACACTCTACAACTATCATGCATCCTGCTGGGCTTCCTCAGACAGGTATGCTCGGCCTTTCGCGCCCTTTGCGCACCCTAGCATTCACGAGTCGCACTCAGGCCATGGCAGCGCATTCATTCGCTTCTGGCAAGGTGGAAATGCATCTTGACTCGCTGCCAAGACGCGCAGAGGAGCTGACCGAACCCTCATTCAGCCTCTCTGCCGATCTGCCCGAGACGCTGCTCTTGTCCAAAGATGAACCACCAGCTCAGCTAGCAGAGACTGGAGCAGCAATAGCGTCTAGTACAACGGTCTTTTTCGACCAGTGTCATGCAACGGGGCCGGCCCGTTCGAATGGCGGGTCGAGCAGAAGGTCTGCAGATCGGGCTTTGCCAATCATCGTTGCGGGTTCTCCTCTGGCCAAGCTCGTATGTTGTGCGTGGCCAAGACGCGGCACATTTTTCATGAACTTCGACTGTGACTGCGCTCGCTGATCCACTCGCACAATGCGTTCTTTCGCGTGACCTAGATGACTGCGAAGGCTTGAATCTCACACTCAGGTCTCGTCTCCTCACCAGTTCTGCAGAAATCTTTCGCTGCTCGAACGTCACGCTCACAGTAGACGTTACACGACCGATCGAAGATGAGAGTGCGGCAGACATTGATCACTTTTCACGCTCGATGCATGCCGCACAGGCTGGGATGGGTTTGCCGTGGAGGCTAGGGGCATTGCAGTTGGATCCGCCTCTAGAGAATGTCACCATCGTTTTCCAGGATGCGGGCATGTGCGGAGAGGTCATCTTGACTTCTTCAGGTGCGAATGCTCATCCACACCAAGCATCTGCTGCAGATCACACGCCATCGAGGCAAGCTGCAATATTCGACGATACCAGC